GGTGCTGTGGGGAAGGGGACGGGAACAGGGTGCCTGAGGGGACACCGGTTATTTGGGGGCGCATGGGCAGCGTTGATAGGAAAGGGGACCCCAAGAGGTGCGAGGGTATGGGTGGGATGGCGGTAAGGGCGCTGCTAGGTGGGTGCTGCTGCGGCGGGGGTGGGACATATGCGTGGTGTTGCTCGGGGTAGGGGTGGATGCTGGAACAGATTCGGTGTTTTGGGGGAGATGGGGAAGGTGCTTGGATTTTGAGGGAGGAGGACCCTGGCTAAGACTTTGGATCGCCCTCTGGATGCAGGGTTTGTAGAGGAGCTCTCCTATTTGTAGTGTCTCAAGGCAGCATAGGGTTGGGGCAAGAGAGGAGACTGGAGGTGGGGGCCAGGGCCTTTTGTCAGCGTTGGTAGGAGGCCTGGGTAGATCTGTGATATTTACACTCCTTCTCCTACAACTTACCCATGGCTCTAATGTCTACTTCTATCTATTCTGTTAGACACAATTCTGTGGTAGTTATGGGGTTCTCAGGTGCTTTAGGATGCCTAGGAGCCCTTTCTACTAAGGGCTCTAATCCTGCGTTCTACTAAGACTTTCTAGGCTAATGCATGTGAACAGTGCCTTAAAATTGAGGGAGGTATATATGGCAAAAATGGGTCTTGAATAATGAGAAGTGTGTTAAAATGGGGAAATGGCATTATTATGTAATTCTGTGGGTTTACTGAATTTATAGGTTAATTGTTATGATACTGTGAATAACAGTAATTGAGGAAGGCTTACTGCTGCCAGTGTGTTGGATTTTTGTTTCCTTTGAAAGAGGTAATCAGTATAAGAAGCATGCACACTGACTTGTTGGGGAAACAGTTTAATCTGAAGTGGTGTATTGTGAAGCATAATGTGTCTTTATTTTAGTTATGAGTTACAATGAATTTGATTAGCAACCTAGTTGCCTGCCTTTTTTTATGTGTGTGGTAAGTACATTAGTGAAACCAGTTCATTGGTTTGGGTGGAAGTCTCTTAAAACTGTTCAAGTTCATGACGACAGAATACTGGAGGAGGGAAGCTGGTAAATATGTTCTTTGACAGTGCATTGCATCTAAAATAAATGTGATGGTTTGATAGTGAATAGATTAAAGAGTAGTCCTGGTTAACATTTGGGGTTTTTTTAATGCATGTGGTTGTATCTGTATACATACCTGCTGCAGTAGCGTATTACTTCTCTCACCGATTGTGTATTTTAGGCCATATTCTTGTTAACCCATTTTTTCACATGGACCTTGCCATGACATCCTGATAAGCTCTGTAGGTGTTCAGTGATGTGTACTTTCAGCAGTTGAATTGAGGACTTGTGCATATGCACATTTCTTTTTCTATGCACCTGAATATTTGCAGGAAAGTAAGTTAGACGTGACAAGACAGATACCTGGCAGATTGCCTAGGTGGTCTTGCCTTGAGGAAGGTGGGATAAACTGGGTGACCTTTCAGCTGGGTTTTTTTTTTTTTTTCCCCATGGATTGTATGCTAAACCTGCTGATTTTGTGGGCCTTAGGCTCTAAAGATTTCCAGGTAGAGAGCATTCTGTCTGCCTAGAAAGAATATATGATGCAAGTCTTGATCATATATCAAAAGTTAATAGTTAATATTGGGCCTAAAAATCCAGATTTGCACTGGTGTGCATCAAAATTACAAATCATATAACTTTGCTAAGTGCAGCAGTGGCGCACACTGCAGATGATCGAGTACTCGTTTGTATGGCAAAAGGAACGGAGAGGTTACAGTGACACAGACACCCATAAATCCCTTGGGATTTTGCAGTTGAGACAAGAGACAAAAAGAATGATAATATCTCTAGGTTAGGGGGCTTATATGCAGAAAGTGTAGCATGCGCTGGTTTTGAATGCATCATGAATGAATCATTAGGGTTTGTATTCTTTGGGTTTGGGCCTGCTTGTACCACTGTGTACAAGCTGCACTATGTAAAAACACTTTGTTTCTGTTTTTTCGTTTTAAAGCTGGAAGTAAAACTATAGACTCATTTTAAAAGGTGATTTTTTTTTTTTGGTTGTTGTTTTTTATTGTTCTAATGATAAGTAAGCAAAATTTGCTTATTTTACACATCTGGAAATGCTTTTTACAGAATTTTTACTTCCAACAGAATTGATTTCCTGTGACATCTGTGCGAGACTTTCTCATGGCAGCTGGCGGAGAAAAGAAGTATAGGGTCTGTAACATAAAATTGTAAAACTATACAAAAGTCTAAGGGAAAGGCAAAGGCAAGTGTGTGAGCTACAAGCTCAACTGAAAGCCAGTAGATTTAAAGCTGATAACATCCTGTTCATTCTAACAGGATACAATATTTTAATGTTGAGTTTAAAATAAACAGAAAATTAAAAAGAAAATAGAACATATTTCCCTAAAAATATCTTCTTTCAGAAGTCAGTGATATAGCCATTGAATTTAACTTTCAGGGTTTGGTGTATTTTTTTTCTAAAGTTAAACACTGGTGAATATGGCTTAATATCATGTAAATTGTATACAAAATGCCTCATGTATGGAATTTGTTAGTATAGGTGGCATGGTCTTTACTCTTATGAGAGAGTGTTTCAGGCAGTGATGGATTGATGTGTTCAGTATTTCTAGGAGATTGTCAGATATTTATGTGAAACTTGCTTTCAGGATTGCAGACAACTACAGCAAAACTTGTGAGTTGTTGCCTGGTTGCTGCTGCAGTACGAGCTTGGTGGTGGGAATGTCTGGCTCCACTAAAACACAGCAAACCTCACTTCTGTTCCATTCAGTGCTTGAACACAATTAACTGCATTTGCACATGCTTCTGGACATGGCCTTTTTTTTGTTGTTGTTTTCTTTCTTTCCTTTTTTTTTTTTCTGGTGTTTTTTTTTTTTTGTTTGTTTGTTTATTTTGGTTTGGTTTTTTGTTTGTTCTTTTGTTTTCCCTGTTTGGCCTATAAATTGTACTTGATGTATGTGTACTGGTTGCTCTTTTCCACCAGTAGTTTCTCTTCTGTTTGTATATTCTGTGTATACATAACTACACCTGTGTTCCAAGGTCAAGATAGGTTATAAGGGATATGTGCTGAAATATGCGCATGCTTGCATAACATGACAGATGCAGTGTCCTTGGAGGAGCAGGTAATATACTGGAACAAAATACGTTACTAGAATTCTTCAGGGAACATCACAAGAACACCTACGCTTATTTGGAAGCCTTTCGGAAACATGTCTGGGAAAGGGAGTTGTGCTCATCCATTTAGAGTAGAGCAATAGCCTGTTGCTATAGGAATAAAAAATACTCACTGAAACAAAATACTTTGCTGTATAAAGTACTGTGGTAGGATAGGTCAAAGCCACAACAGGTTATTCTGTAGAAATAGTGAAGCATCTGAGGTCATCATTCCCAAAAGAAGGAAGTAATAAATGTTAAAAGTTAGCTTATTTAAAAATGACAAATGAGAGATGAGTACAGGCCAGTTTGTTCATTACAGCTCTTTCAGACATCTCGTAACTCAGTCCCGTAGTAAACTGAGTGGTTTCTAAGTGGCTGTGCTCTCTTAACTGTTTTTCCATTTAAGTTCATTTAAGTTTTTTGTACTTGTAAGGTTGTGGTTTTTTTTTTTTGCTTGGGGTTTGGGTTTGTTTTTTATTTTCCCCACACTCCTTCTTGGAGGTCTCTCTTGGTACATGTTAGAAATTTATTCAAATACAGCAATGTACACAGCTGCTTCTACAGTCTGTACAGTGTGCCTCAATGAAACGAATTGAAGCAGCTATTAAGACCTGGTTCCTAGTAAGATAAAATATTTATCTGGTCTGTAACTAATTCCTTGCTTGCTGAAAGAAAACCTATTTATAGTGTGCTGAAATAATCATCATGTACTATGCTCTACTGCTATAGTAAATATTTCTGGGCTTATTTACCCTTTCTTTGGTGAATGCTAAAATGTCATTTGTAACAGTGAAGTAATGTTAAATCACCTTTTAGGGTACATGAATTATCTTTTATCTTTGCTACTTATCATTGGCCTTCAGAAACTTTCATTTATTACTGAAGATGTAGTGTTACAGCATGGCTTTTAGTCCAGATAGGTATTTTGAAGGTGTCCAGTTTATATTTTTTGTCGTATTGACATAACATAATAGGGAGCTAGTTTGCCCACTGCAGATGTGCTGTTTTGTGTGGATCAGATTAGTCCTGAAATGTAGTTTCTTTATTCTTATTAGAAATGTGAGTGTCTGGATTTGTTACTGAACCCTGTATTTTAATCCTAAAGAGATTTTTCTGAAAGGTGAAATAAGAATTTTGAAAACATTCAGGGTGTGGGTGGCATTTTCCCTGATGCTAAGATTAGGGAAATTGATATTATGATGAAGTTGTTGGGGCTTTTTTGCCTGTGTAACAGATAGGTTTTGAAAAGTCTTCAAAATATCTTTTTAGGTTTTGGTGTTTTGTTTTGTGGGATTTGTTTTTTGTGGGGTTTTTTTTCCCCCCTTTTTTTTTTCTTATTAAAAAAGTTTCAGCAACAGCCTGAATGTCAACTCAAAAGCTCCCAAGTTTTGCTGGAAAATGAGACAAATGAGTGAAACATGAAGAGGCGTCTGCTGGGAATTTGCATTTCAGTTGGAAAAATGATGTATGAATGTGTTGAAACCTTGACAAAGGCATGCTCTTTCTCAAACGTTTGGGGACTAATAACAAGAAAGTGTGTAATGTCTGTGGTGAAAAATTATTTCTTTCACAGTTTTCTACCTTTTTGGTCTTTTTTAATTTCATATCCATATATAAATTACAGGGTGGGAGAAGATAGGAGATGTGGGAGAAGGAGTACCCCAATTCTGTGTGCTACACGATGCAGTGAAGTGCCTGTTTGCTGCAGAGTAAAATCCTGCTTATGGGTTATTTGGAGGACGTACTGGTTTGAAAGCAGCATTTTGGATACAAGTTGGCTTTGTATATAAATGGTGTTTGTATTTCCTGGTTTTGCATGCAGCTAGTGTGGTTATCCGCACTCTTATAGCATGGCTAATCTGTAATTTCTTTAATAAATAATTCATAATTATTTATTCATGGATAACTTCCAGAGCAGCGTAGTCCCTTCTTTCATGTCAAGCTGTC